ATTTATAATCCCTGCCCCGCCTCCTTGTCACACCAGCAGGACAAAGCCAGCAGGGCTGTGCGGCTCCGTGCCCTGTCTCTGCCTGTCAGACATCACAAGGGATTACAGTGATTGATGAAGGCCCCAGAGAGGGGCGGGGAGAGCACAGGGCTAAAACCTCAGGGGTCCAGCTCTAATCCCGGCCCTGGCTCTGCCTGGCTGGGACAGGCATTCACCCTTTGTGCTCTGGAGGCTTGGGCAAGCCCACCTCTGAGGGTCCTTTCAGCTTCTGCAGGCTGGGAGTGCTACCCTTTGTGGTGTCTACTGTGTGCTGGGCCTCGGGTACGAGTGTCCTTTAATCCACATGACAGGCCTGCCCAGTATTAGCCCCATTTTATAGAGAAGTGAACAGAGGCTCAGAGAGGCTAAAGAACCTGCTTAGAGCCTCCCAGCAAGTCATCGAGGCCAGAAAGGCAACCCCGGGCTGTCCCCCTGTGTCACGCAATTATAGGGTGTGTTGATTTTCCACATGACAGATCCGAGCCTTCACAATCCTACTGACCATCAATCAGACTGTGTCCTCAGGTCAGGGTCTGCCAAAGCGAGGGGAGCCAGTGGGTGTCCCATTGGCCTTGGGAGGAAATGCCCTGATCTCAGTGAGCCTGGAGAGGCAGGCAGGGCTGGAGGCAGCCGTATTCAGACCTTGCCGGGTTGACGGAGACAAGCCACTGATCACCAGACACACCCTCTACGTCCTGCCCTCATAAATTACCCCCTCCACGTATATAACCAGCCTACCTCTTTCCAGAGCACTCTGAGGAAAAGACCCAGGTCCAGAAGTAAGAGTCAAAGCCCCACGCTCACCGCTCGCTCATCACCTGTCACAAAAACCAGCCTCAGCAAGCAAGAGGTCCTTAGTGACTCATGCCCCCCTGCCATCACCCTGGTGATGCCCTGTCTACCCGCCGCAGAAGGAGGGCCTGCTCTTGCCATGGTCCCTGAGCTCTGCCTACGTGGCTCTGACATCGGGGTCCCCAGACCAGCCCAGATGCCCCCCACACCCACGCTCCTATCTGTGGGATCCCTTCCTCCCAGGGCCTCTCTGCTGTGTGAGGCCCAGCAGAACCCCCAGAGCTTAACGTGCCCCCCACCCCAACTGCTACCAGGCACTTCCTGTCTTTCCCCTTCTGGGGGCCCACAACAGACCTCTCGGGACCGCCCAGAAGACCTCCTCACGTTTGGCTTTCGGGCCTGGTTGGGAAGACAGGTCCAGGACCGGGGCTGGGCACCTCTACCTCCAACCTCAAGGTCTCAGGAAAGGTCTTCTCTGTCCTTCTTAGACCCTGTGGCTCCACCGTGCCCCCTCATGCCCATCGCCACCGCCCAGAGCCACCAGAGAAGAGCAGGCTACCGAATCTGCCTCTCTTCTGATTGACCACTGTATGGCCCTATTCTTTCTGGAAAACACCTCTAGATACATGGAACCTCAGAGACGAAGATAGGACATCATTATACTAAACATGGCTGAGCTGGGGGACCCGATCCCCCAAGGGGGCAGGGGAGGGAAAGGGAGGGTGAGCTGTCCCCATCAACTGAAGAACCTGACAGTATGCCATCAGCGATGAGAGGGAAAGAGATGGGTGACGGACACACAGGGGTGACGGAGACAGAGAAGGACGCCTCTGTAGTGAAATTAAGAGAAAGGTCAAGAGTGACTGCATTTGTCTCTAGTCCCAGCCTTGCTGAGTGATGATCTCTGGAGGCCTGTCGGAACACCAACCGCTTCCGGACCTCGGGGTGTCCTTCCCCACGAGGAGCTGTCATCAAATTCATCTGACCAACAGAGTGGCCTCAAGGGATGTACCTTGTGAATAAGGGTGCCAGATTTAGCAAATAAAAATGCAGGAAGCCCTGTGAGATTCAAATTTCAGGTAAACAACTTTTTTTTTTTAGGATTTTATTTTTGTTTTTATTTTTACTTTTTTTCGGTGCAAAAAGGTGATTTTGTCACAGCATGGGGACAGGACCCCGTGGGCAGAAAGAGCTGCCTAAAGATGTTACTTTTAGGTAATCTCTACACCCAAACCTAGGGCTCGAACTCACAACCCTGAGATTAAGAGTCGCGCATTCCACTGACTGAGACAGCCAGGTGCCCCACAAACAACTTATTTTTAAGTTTATTTATTTATTTTGAGAGAGAGAGAGAGAGAGAGAGAAAGGACCAGCAGAGGAGGGGCAGAGAGGGGGGAGGCAGAGGATCCAAAGCAGGCTCTGTGTTACAGCAGAGAGCCCCGCACAGGGCCGAACTCACAAACTGGGAGATCATGACCTGAGCCAAAGTCGGACACTTAACCGACTGAGCCCCCCAGGCGCCCCATCCCCACGACAAATTTTCTTAAGTATAAGTCTGTCCCCTGCAGTATTTGGGACACACTTACACAAAAAAATTGTTGATCCAAAATTCTGATTTCCACCTGAAACTCATGCGACATTTAGGTCAACCCTATTCAAAGTTAAAAATAGATTTTTAAAAAAATTCTGATTTTATTGGGCATCCTGTGTTTTATCTGGCTACTCTGTCTGTGAGGTCTGAGAAAGGGAGTGGTCAGCACAGGCCGGGGAAGGGGCAGTGAGGGAACCAGGAAGAATTGCGTGCCTGCACCGGGGCACAGGGAAGAAGGTGTCCGAGCCTCGGGCAGGGCTGAAGTCCTTGTGTACATCATGGTGTGATGTCACTAGCCATTACTGTGACCGATCCCACTCCCCCGGCTTCAAAGCAGGGCTCCCGTGCCTGGCTGCACCCTGAAATCATCTGGGAGCTTTAAAAAATTCCAAGCACTGTGTCACCTCCCCAGAGATTCTGATTTTAAGTTCTGGGGTAGGGCCTCGGGAGCATAGCTCCTTCCCCAGGGGCTTCCTCTGCGCAGCCGGGCCTGAGAACCACTGTTCAAAGTACACATTCTCAGGCTTTCTTTGGTGGCGAAAGTTACTGAGCGTCCTGGACCAGCCAGGTCACGACATCTCGCTGAGTTCGAGTCTGCCAGGCTCTGGGCTGATGGCTCGGAGCCTGAGCCTGTTTCCCATCTCTGTTCTGCCCCTCCCCCTGCTCACATGCTCTGTCTCTCTCTGTCCTGTAATAAACAAAGTAATAATATTCTCCAAGGTTTCCTCGTTGCCTGGCCAGCAGAGCATGTGACTCTGGGTCTGTGGGTCATGAGTTCGGGCCCCGCATGTATGCAGTTTATTTAAAAAAAAAAAAAAAAGGTACATGTTCTCCGAGCTGTAGGTTGGCATCCTGTTTGTCTGCCTCGTGGGGAGAAAGAGCGTGCCTACCTAGCCATGTGCCCAGAGCAGGGGTTCAACTTTGCACGCTTTGCAAGTGGAGTCTGGGCAGAGAGGTTAAGGGTGTAAAACAGATCAAGAGTCCCCACCCCCTCCTTCACTGACCTCCCGCAGCAACAGGCCAGAACTGCTGTGAACTCCATGAGGGCCCTGCCGAGATGAGACTTCATCCCAGTAGGGGACCCCAAGAGAAATGGACTCTCAGAAGCTCAGACTCTCACCTTAGAGTGCCCTCTGCCCTGAATGCCTCCCCACCCCACCCCCTGCATGTACCGGGAGGCTCTGTCCAGGCTCAGGGGGCAAGAGAAGAGGGGCCACTATGTGACAGGCATCACAGAGGACATCACAGGCTCTCCAACAGCAGAACCACAGGAGCAAGGCATCTGATGGAGTCAATTCCCAGTGTCCTCAGGTGGGGACCACTGGCTCAGGGTGCTTCTTTTTAGATCCCCTATTGATATAATTTTGCTCTTTTTTTTTTTTTTAATGTTTATTTTTGAGGCGGGGGGGAGGGACAGAGAGAGAGAAGGAGACACAGAATCTGAAGCAGACGCCAGGCTCTGAGCTGTCAACACAGAACCCAACACAGGGCTTGAACCCACGAACCAGGAGCTCATGACCTGAGCCGAAGTCGGACACTTAACTGACTG